ATAAATAAATAAATAAAAATTTAAAAAAAAAAATTGGGGGCCAGGGAGATAGCTCAGTGTCCCTGGTTCCATAAATAAATAAATAAATAAATAAAATGTCAAAGATAGCAAGGTGCTGAGGTCACATGTAAGCTTGGTTTGGGGTTACAAGAGAAAAGGACTATTAAGTGTTCTGTGCCCTTTAAGTCTCTTACAAATATATGCTGTTGAGAGTTCATGTGCAGTTGCATGTTAGCAGCGCAGACACAGGACACCACTCAGGATTACATACATAAATCTTAAGAATAACCTGGTTATAGAAAGAAAATACATTTATGTTCATCTGTATTATTACTTTTCATAGATGTAATTGCCGAAAAGCAAATCTTCCTCTGTACCCTCACAGACCTGTAACAGCCTTGCAAGCTGACAGGCTTTCTCTCACCATCACAACTGTTTTTCAGTGCTGAAGGATGCATCAGAGAAGCTCAAACAGCTTGAGACAGAGAACAGTCCTTTGCAGTCCCCTCGAGCCAGCATTGATGTGAACATCAACAGCCAGGTATTCAGCTCTTTCTGCTCTCTCTCCCTGTTATACATCACTAGAGCTCCCAGAAATCTTTTCTTTCTGAAGATAGTACAGTACATATCTTTTTCTAAGAAATATATATCTGTCTGTGCCAACCTTTTTTTTTTTTTTTTTTTTTTGCGGAACCGGGGATTGAACTCAGGCCCTTGCGCTTACCAGGGAAGCACTTATTCCACTGAGCCATCTCCCTGGCCCTTGTGCCAACCTTTTATAAACCTATTTTATTATTTTAAAAGGTAAAATTTAGGGCCGGGGAGATGACTTAGTGGAATAAGTGCTTCCCAAGTGCAAGGGCCTGAGTTCAATCCCCGGTTCTGCCAAAAAAAAGGTAAAATTTATGAATGCTTAGGAAGAAAAGGAGGAAACTTGTTCAGTACCATTAAGAATTATATGATCATCTAATGATTTGTCTAATTCTTTAAAAAATTTTATTTATTGATACAGGGTCTCACTATGCAGTTAAGACTTGTAGTGATCCTCCTGATTGAGCCTCCCTAGCCCTGAGATTACAGGTGTGTGCCACTGCACCAGCCTGGTTTCAGGGCCAACATACGTGCCCAGGGTTCCAGGGCTGGCACAGCGTGTGGTACCAGGGATTGAACTTGGAGTCTTTGTGCTTGCTAGGCAGGCACTTAGACCACCAAGCTATCTCCTCAGCCCTAATGATTGTTTTTAAACACAGTCAAAAGTCTTACTTCTGTTAAAGTTTTTATTTTGATTTAGTCCATCTGCTTGAAGAACTTCTTACTTTTTTTTTTTTAAATTATAGCAAGATTTGTTTGAAGAGAGCTACTTAGTAGGGTAAAGAGAGTAGAATTTCATACACTTCAGCTGCGTCTTTCATTCCCTTATCTCTGTCCTCTTTGAAGGTTTTTTGCTTTGATTTGGTTTGGTTCTTATTTCTATATTTAATTTATAAGGATAACTAAAATAAGTTAAATGAGGTAGAAATTTTATAATTATGTCAGCTACAGGATGTCTACCCTATGGTGCACGCCTATAATCCCAGCACTTGGGAGCCTGAGGCAGGAGGATCACTGCAAGTTCGAGGACCAGAGACAAAAGACAGCAGGATGCTGAGGTCACATAAAAGTTTGGTGAGCTCAAGGGCACCCTGAACTGCATGGTGAGACCTTGTCTCAAAAAGACAAAAAGATGTTCACCATCAATAAAATAGTAATTTAAGCAAAAATGTGAAGAAATCCCTTTTTTCTACGTGTAAAACTCCTTTTTTTCTATATATTTCTTTTTTTTTTTTAATTTTTAATTTATTTATTTAGTATGTGTGTGGCCAGTTCAGCCCACCAGGAGGCGGGGCTGGCTGGCATGTGGTGCTGGGGGATTGAACCGTGGTCCCTGTGCTTTGCTTAGCTTGTTCTAAATAGGTGCTTTAGACCACTGAGCCATCTCACCAGCCCCTCTATATATATCTCTGTATAGAAATTCATAAAGAGGCCAGCTGGGTGTGGTGGCACATGCCTGTAATCCCAGCACTTGACAGGCTGAAACAGGAGGATCCCTGTGAGTTTGCGACCAGCCTGGGCTACATAGTGACACCAGCCCAGGCTACATAGTTTACATGAACTACATAGCAAAACCATGTCTCAACAAACAACCAGAAATGCAAGGCCAAGATAACATGTCTTTTTTTCTTTTTAAAGAAGAAGGAATTGATTTGCTGTGTTCTGTCGTGCTTGTATAACTATGTAATTTCTTCAGAGACCAGTATAGTGTAGAAAGTGACTATCCTTACATTGTCATTGCTGGTATTAAAAATATCTTTCTGGATCTATATCTTTCTTTTTTCCTTCCTTCCATTGTTTTCTGATTTTTTCTTAGAAATATTTTTTAGAAACTGCATTTCAAGTGCATTGGCCAGGGTTTGATCCCCAGCATGCTATGCCAGCCCTACCCCTGGGGCAAGCTGAGACATCACTGAGACTGGGCTTGGTGGTGCGTGCCTATAATCCCAGCACTTGGGAGGCTGAAAACAGGATAATCACTACAAGTCCAATCTACTAGTGAGACCCTGTAGACACTATAGACCCTGTCCTAAATACAGGAAAAAAAGAAAATAGAAACTGAGTTTCAGAAAGAATTTTGATTTTCTTGACCTTTCAGTATTTATTATATTTGTCTCTTGGCTTTCCCAGTTAGAGTTTGTTTATATCTTTGTAAGGTAGGTGAATGCAAGTTCAGACACAGGACAGTAAGTTGAAAACTACAGTGATTAGTAATTACACAAAAATTTAGTAGCAGACTAAATTATATTTCTTGCATATCTTGCTATAAGTATTACTGAGCCTGTGAGGCAGAGGATCTATTATATTAATCTTATTTGTTTGTTTTTATTTTTTTGTCTTTGTTCTTTTGAGACAGAGTCTCACCACGTAGCTCAGTCTGGCCTTGAACTGACTAGGTAGCCTATGCCTCAAACTCATGATAATCCTCCTACCTGCCAAGTGCTGGGATTGCATCAGTGCATCACCATGCCTGGCAATTATATTAATCTTGAATCCTTAAAAAATAAGGAGGGCCAGCGAGATAGCTCAGTGGTCTAAAGCGTCTGCTTAAGCAAGCTTAGGCAGGCCTGTAGGACCTCGGTTCAGTCCCCTCCCTCAGGATGGGCTAAGCTGGCCAAAAAATAAAATAAGGAGTGTAAATTCAGTGTACAAAGGGAAGTAAAAAAAATTAGACCGGATCAGTGCAGTTGACCCTAGAGCACAGAGTCCTCTCCTTGGGCACATGAGCCACATTGCCCAGTATCAGATAACAGCACACATGGGCAGTGCTGGCGCTTTGCAATAAATAAGTGTGTTTTGGTTTACAATTTGGGCATTTTTTTCTCTCAAAGGTTCACCATCACTGGACTAGATACAGAAAGCTTTTTTTTTTTTTTTTTTTTTGTGGTACCCAGAATCAAACTCTGGACCTTGTGACTTGCCAGCAGGTGTTTGCACCGCTGAGCTATCTGCCAGCCCATGGACTAGATAAAGATCAGTGTGCTATCAGGGAACACTTGGGAGAGCACATAGGAAAAAAATAGCTCATATTTATTGAGGGCTCGCTCTGTGCCAGGTAAGAATGCAAAGAAAAATTCAGTATTATACTGATACATAGAGAACACCAGACTACACTAACTGTAATTAGTTTTATCAAAAACTTGATTTATGCTTTATTAATGTGGCACATTCTTATTTCAGGTAAACTTCTACCTTTGTATCAACAGGTGATATTTAAAGAATAGAAATTAATTTTAGTGCCAGTCTTACTAACCAAAGTATTTTCAGGAGGGAAAAAGCCTACTGTAAAATATGTTATTCTGAAACAAACTAGGGTTGCCAAATGAGTAGCTCTGAAAAGGGTGCAACCAAGAAAGTGTGAGCCAGTGACACAACCTTGAGGCTCAGAGAAGCCCGCTGGCAGAGTGGGCTGAGTGGTGAGAACTGAGTGCAGAGAGCTGCAGGCCACAGCAGGCCTGTGCTGCATGAGACTGATCGTCACCTGTGATGTTTTCATGTACTGCTGATTCGGTTCTACAGTGTGTTTACTGTCTACTTTTTGTAAGGTCAAATATTATGTGGCGCTCACAGGTGAATGACATGGCATTCAGAAAACTTTAAATCCGAGGGCCCAATAGAAGTTCGTGTTGCACATGGCCATTCCAGTGATCACTTCTTGTCACACACCCCTTTAACCGATGACGTTTTCAAAATGATGCCTGAAATACACAGTTATTAAAGGCAAAATCCAGATCCATGAACACTGGGTTTTTTTGTTTTGCTTTGTTTTTGTTTTGTTTTGCTTTTGTCTTTTTGAGACAGGATTTCACTATGCAGTTCTGGCTCGCCTTAAACTCATTTATAGTCCAAGCTGACCTCAAACTCAGAGTGATCCTCTTTCATTAGCCACCTGAGTGCAGGGATTACAGAACTACACCAGGACTCCATGAACACTTTGAAAGGCTGGAATGGTTGGACTGGATTTAAGAAAATAGATGTGTCCCTACAAGTACAAGATTAAGGTAGAGGGCTAGAATACCCTAGCAACATGTGTGAAAATAAATTAAGAATACATAAATATAGTATTAATCAACTGCAGAACAGCTATGATGTATTAATTGAAAGACTTTAAAAAGGGAAGTGCAGTTGGGGATATAGCGCAGCAGCATAAGCACCTGCTTGGCAAATGCAGGGTCCCCAATTCAATCCCCAATACCAAAGGACAAAAAAAAAGAGAAGTCCAACTTGGCATGGTCACACATGCCTGTAATTCCATCATTTAGAGAGGCTAAAGCAGGAGGATCAGGGGCCAGGGGGATAGCTCAGCAGCATAAGCGTCTGCCTGGTAAGCACAAGGTCCTGAGTTCAATCCTCAGTATTGTTTAAAAAAAATTAAAAAAATTTTAAAAAGTCAGTTAAAGCAGGAGGATCACAAGTCAAGTCCACCAGGGCAAGTTAGCTAAAATGTGTCTCAAAAAGGGCTGGCAATGTACTGAGTGATAGAGTGCCCCTGGGTTTTTTACCCTCTGTACCACAAGAAAAGGAGTAAGAGAGGATCACTCTGAGTTCAAGACCAGTGTGGGCTACAAAGTGAGTTTAAGGCCAATTTGTATTTTGCTCATTGCTGGATGCCATTATTTTAAAATAGTACAGGGAAGAACCTTAAGTAATTTGAAGAGATTGCTTATCATGAAGGGTCTTGAAAATAAGTTAAAACAGGGGCCAGTGAGGTGTCTCAGTAGAATAAGCACTTCCCTGGGAAGCTCAAGGGCCTAAGTTCAATCCCTGGTTCTGCAATAAATAAATAAATAAATAAATAAATAAATAAATAAATAAATACGGGACATCATGAGCTAGAAGATCATCACATAGGAATCTCTAGAGAGAGCATTCTAGCCACATTTAATGTCTGAAAAGCTAATATGTGAAAGAATTAATGTGACTTGTTTTTTAATAGGCTCAAAGAAAAAATTAAGGCCATTGTGTATGTTAGAGATACACAGAGCTTGCCTTAACATAAGCAGCGTTTCCCCCTGGGCATCAGCAGACTGAATCACTAAGGAAGCAGCAGTCCCAGAACGCTGGGTTCCTTGGGATAAGAGAGAAACTGAAGCACCACATTTCAGTGCTTAGGTGGACTGTGGATTATGCTCTCAGCTTTAAGAGGCATGATGCTAAAGGTCTCTATAGAGATTGTTCACGCTTGATATCTCCTGGTTTCCATAGCTCATTTATTCTTTTTTTTTTTTTTTTTTTTTTTTTTTTTTTTTTTTT